TTTTGTAATTAATTTATATAAAAATATAGAAATTGATATTTATTTTAATATTATTACTTAAATAATTGAATTAATTAATTAAATTTAAGCTTATATATATTTTTATATAAATTAATTATAAAAAAATATAATAAATATATTTTTAACTGTTACAAAATGTATACCCAAAAGTATTGTCCTAGATATTAAGATAGTCATAAAAGGAAACAAGAACAAAGTGCTACTTCCAATGTAATGGATTCATACCTGCAGTAAAGAGCAAATCATATCATTGATCACTTTCCTTAATACTTTTACTGTAGGATTTAAAAAACGTTTTTTTTTATTCTGTTTATTCCGTCATTTTATTTTCAACGGAAAACAGAACAAAAAATGACTGGGCATGAGACTTGCTTTTTTCTTTGGGTCAATCAATATATATACCTTAAGAAAGCCCTTATCTTTTGAGCGGCCCAAAAATTAAATGGGTTGTTCTGGCCCAAAAAAACCCCTTTCCCGGTCTTAAACTCCGGAAAACCCGAGTCAACATAAAGGAGAAAGACCGAAGCGAAGAGGAAGGAAGAAAATAGTAAAGAACATTGCTAGGGGCACTCGACTCCTGCACTCTCCGACCAACACCTCCACTTTCATTGAGCCACGTAAGCTTGCTTAGGGGTTTTGAAACGCAACCTCTTAAATCAAAATAACGTGGCCCAATAAAAATGGAAGTGTTGGCCGGAGAGTGCAGGAGGCGAGTGCCCGTAGCACTACTCAAATGGTAAAAATCCCACCGTCGTGAAACGCCGACCACCATTAGCAATGCAGAGGCCTTAGGTTGAATGCAAACGCAAACACCAACCCCACCTCTTCGCTTTCCCAAGAAATCCTCTCAGAAAAGGGGCGGCAAACTTCCAAGAGGGCCGAACAGCGCTCGGCAATCGAAACCTCCTCGATCGCCGTACCCTCCCCTCCACTAGGAAGATCTTTAATTCCATCATCGCCACGAAAAAGGCCCCACTTGATCTCGTCTTCTTTAAAACCCTTAATTTCATGGTTACCAATGGGTTTAATCACAATCAGGTGACGGCTAATATTGCCATCGGATCACTTTGTGAAGTGGGGCGCGTTGATGATACTGTAGAATTCTTTTTTTTTTTTTATCTTGAACAATTTGACATTATTTACAAGTATATAGAAGAGAAAAAAAATGAGTTTCATGATACTCAAACACGCAACTGACGGAAGTGAACAACCCTACCTTAAAGTCTAATGTTATTAGATTGAAACGGGCCATTCATGTAGAATTCTTATTTAAAGCATCCGCCACCTAATAATTTAATTTCAATTGTCTTGTTAAAAAGCTTATGCAAGTGTAGGACTTCAGGGGATGATTAATTGATTAATTAATAATGCTTTTGTAATTTAGACAACTTACCTGAGGCTACATGGTTGCTGGATATGCTTTATATAATTCTTAATTGGTTATTTCTCCATAGAAGATGGATTTTATTTTTTATTTTTTAAAAAAACAAGTGCAATTTAAAAAAAGAGAAAAGGAATTGAACCAATTCATGGATTCAGAGAGATGAACCTCAACCAACTAACTTATAAAGTTAGGTGCCATCGAAGATGGATTTGGATATGCTTCATGAATGTGGTTATGTTGAGGTTTTTATTTATTTATTTTAATCAAGATAAATATTAAAAGAAAAAAGAAAACGTTATAACTATTTCAGTAGAAATTGAAATCTTGACATGAACCAAAGCATTTGATTCGTATAGCCAGTTTACCATGAACTACTAGTGCAAATAAATATTATAAAATCAGATTGCGTGTGAATCAACATATATGTATGTATATGATTTTTTTGTTGTTGAACATTAAAAAATTGAGGGGATAAATTAATTTTTTTAAAGGTTAAATGCTAAATTTGGTCCCTCAACTTTAGTGAGTTGCACATTTTTGGTCCCTTAACAATTTTTTGCACTTTTTTGATCCCTCAACTATACGAAATGCACTCCGTTAGTCCTTCTGTTAGTTTGGACCGTTAACCCTGCTTACGTGGCATTTTTATATTTTTTTTTTTGATGACGTGGAGAGAAAAACTTAAAAAGGTGATGATTTGTCTAAAATTTTTGCCATGTCACATGTTATCCGGCTGAAAACGCACCAAATCCATCTAAGTGAGTCCCACATCACCACTAAGAATTGTTTCTTTCCCCTGTTTCTTTCCCCATCTGTTGCTGTTTCTATCTAAATGGTGTTCTTTCCAATTTCAAGATTGAAGTTCGACAGAACAAAACCCCTTCCATTTTCAAGATTGAAGTTCGACAGAACAGAAACCCCTTCCATTTTCAAGATTGAAGTTCGACAGAACAGAAACCCGCAAATACGTTCCACACAGCTCGATTCACTGAGCTCAATTGCTCAAAAATCCCTGCAATTTGAATAATCTCTTGGCAAACAATCATATAACCAAAAAAAAAAATCAATTGCCCAAAAATCCCTCGCAACAACCTGCAATTTGGATAATCTCTTGCAAACAATCATATAAACAAAAAAAAAAAAAGTGGAGCTGGGTTCTGGGTTCAGTGAAACCCAGTGCTGGGTTCGGTGACCAGAGGAAGAAGAGGAAGAAAGAAGGGGAAGGAGAAAAAAGAAAAAGAGAAAGGAAGAAGATGAACGTGAGTTTTTTTATTTTATTTTTTAAAAATATAAATAATAATAATGTAACTTGGCATGAAAAAAAATCCACGTCAATAGGTTTTCAATTTGTTTTTGCCACGTCATCAAAAAAAATTATAAAAAATGTCACGTAAGCGAGTTAACGATTGAAATTAACAGAAGGACTAACGGAGTGCATTTCGTATAGTTGAAGGATTAAAAAAATATAAAAAATTGTTGAGGGACAAAAAATGTTCATTTCTTAAAGTTAAGGGACCAAATTAAGCATTTAACCTTTTTTAAAATACTTTTAAAAATTAAATTTTTGATCAATCTAACCTAAATACTCCAAGTTTGGAACGAATCATTGAGCCGAACGCCGATTCCAAAATATTTTAATTCAAATACTGGATGCGTACAAAGCTGGTGGAACAAGCTATTTTTAGGCTAATTAAGAGTGACTAAAGGCATTAAATGGAACCGTTCAAAAAAAGAAAAAAAGGCATTAAATGGAAAGTAAAAAACAGCGGCTAGTTAGCCATTTTTGTTGACTTATGTGGTCATTTGTTAGATAAAATTGCACCTGCCTACGTTGTAGCTGGCGGTGCCGCAAGAATAGCTGACAGGGCTGTGCCTTCCTGGTACAACAGGGATACATTATTCTCAGTGTCAATACTGGCGTGTTATTTATGTATTGTCAAGAAGAAAGATCAAACCTGGGACTGACGAACTTCTTAATTACAATCGTAAAGACCGTTCGTATATGCTTCAATTGTTAAGGTCTTCCACTTTGGCCCCCAGAAGGTCTCCCAATATAATATTCTTGGCTCTACAAATACCCTCCTCTATATCGCCCACTCCACAACCCAGCACTAGTACTTAAGTACTTTTATACGTTATAGGAAAAGAGAAAAAAGATGAGAGTTTTGGCTATAGTTTTGTTCACCCTGGCATCTACAGTTGGAGCCTTGGCTGATATTACTTCAATCATCAGCCGAGACCTCTTCAATGAGATGCTCAAGCATCGCAACGATGCTGCCTGCCCTGCCAAGGGGTTCTACACCTATGATGCTTTCATTGCCGCTGCCAACTCCTTTGGTGCTTTTGGTACCACCGGTGACGTTGACACTACGAAGAGAGAGATCGCCGCCTTCTTAGCTCAAACTTCTCATGAAACTACAGGTTTAATCCCTATACCCCATTTCACAAATCTATCCATACTTTTTTTTTCGTAAGTATATAACTTTTACAAGAATCGGAAATTTTGAAATTAAAACCTTCGTAAAATGTGAAGATTGTTTGTAATCAATGACTCTTGTACAGGTGGGTGGGCTACTGCCCCGGATGGTCCATATGCGTGGGGCTACTGCTTTGTTCAGGAGCAAGGTAACCCTGGAGATTATTGTGTTCCAAGTCAACAGTGGCCTTGTGTTCCCGGCAAGAAGTATTATGGCCGAGGTCCTATCCAGATTTCATAGTAAGTATTAACTAATTACATTTTCTGTGACTTTGTCCCACAATTTTTTAATTTTTTTCATATTTACTTTCTTTATTTTGGCAAAGAAAGAACTGTTTTTATTCTTCTTTTTTGATGTATTATTCTTTTTTTGTTATATCTAAATTAATTTTATGAGTATTTATAAATCGTATTATTTATATGTATTAAATAAAATTCAATTTTCAAAAATTATAAATACAACTTATAAAAATTATAAATACAACTTATAAAAATTATTTAACTTTAATAACAGTAAAAGAATTTAAATTTATATTTTTAACGTAGCTCAAACAATTTCTTAATTACTTAAGTGAAATCCAATAATAAGTTTATCCCATGTACCAAAAAAAAAAAAATAAGTTTATCCCAATTATCATTTTAGGCTGCCTTGACAAGGAAATGATTCTTGAAAATTTGGAAATGACTTCCATATTGAAGGGACAATTTTCCAATTGTTGACTCTTGACCTTGACTTTGACTCTGCAGCAATTACAACTACGGTCCAGCGGGGAATGCTATTAACTACAACTTGCTAAATAACCCTGATGCTGTAGCAACAGACGCTACCATTTCTTTCAAGACAGCTCTTTGGTTCTGGATGACTCCACAGTCCCCCA